TGCCTTCCATATGTCTTCTTTTTGCTTTTGTTGCTTCCACTTCTTTGTTGCCTAGGTGATATATCCCCTTCCCTAGCCACTCTATCAAAGCAAATGTCCAACATATTGTCTTCCTCATCTTCATCAAGAGAATCCTCACCCAAATCAATTGTATTTGTCACTAAGACACTTAGACTCCTTCTTCCTTGCAAGCACACATTTAGGCACAAATACAAGAACTTCTGGACTTAATTTGCTATTTAAAGCAGGTGGTGAGACCTGTTTTTCTTGGATCAAATCGTGGACATTCTCTGTTAACCTTACTTGCTTTCCAGTAGTCTTCAATAAAGCATCAAAGCTATTCAAACATTATAGGTCTCTTGAGACATTACTAGAATCTTGCCTCTTTTCACTACATGGAGAATTATTGTGACTAGTAGGGGAAAGGCTCAGACTACTAGTTGATTTTTTTTGTGCAACCAGTGTCCAGTTTTTAGTTAGATTCTCGTTTTCAACTTGCAAAACATGTTGCCCAGAATTTTCAGCATCTTCAACATCAGATGTATCCATTATTTTTTGTCATGAATCCATTAATTTTTGCCCTGAATCAACTCACGGCGCATCAACCCCAATTCTTGGTGTCCCCCCTGCGTTTTTAGTTGCATTAGACATCAAATTCAGCCCAACTTCTTTTGATTGCACCTCATTAGTAGCACCCTGTTGGTTATTGCAATCACCTTTGTTTTCGGTAGTTGTTTGAACACCAATATTACTTGTATCAACATCCATTGAGTTTACATGATTTTGCTTGAAAGTGGAAGCAACCAATTGTCGATCTAAAGGAGTAGCTTTACTTTGATCAACATCTACAGTCTTTCTTTTTTCATTTAATATCTCTCTCGCATCGCCTTGATACTTTTCACTATCGATAGTACCTTTTAAAGCACCTTCAATGGTATCATCAATTTGTTTGTTATTTTGATTTCTTTTCGAAAGCAAACGACAACTATCTTCATCATGACCTTGGTGCTTATAATAATTGCAATACAAAGGTAGATTATCATATACAATCTCCTGAAAAACCTCAATCAACTTACCAGATTTTCCATCCACAAACTGCAACCTTATACGATTTGGAAGCTTTTCCATTAGATCAAGTATAACCTTGACCCTAGTCGTGCTAGGTCTTGACTTGATTTGAGTAGCTTTATCTATAGCTATTGGTTTTCCAACTGCGGATGCTATGGACAATAGAGACTTCTTTGCAAACAAATCTGGAGATAAGTTCGGTAAAGAAATTCAAACCACAACTAACGTCGTTTCCTCCTTAGGGTTATATTCAATGGACCATGGAAAAATCCTACATTGGTGCTCCTCTCCATTGTAGAGAAGATAATTAACTGAGCGAGATAAAGCTAATACATAATCTTCATATAGATCAAACCTCAACAAAATTTGTCTTGGAGCAAGTAAGCCAATTAAACAATTGTCCTTGGTACCAAAATGTTTCGGTAAAATTGACCTTAATACCTTCAAATCTGGCGCACCATGAGATAATTTAAACACCACTGCTTGATGTAATCCCTCTTTGATCATAAAGTCTTGCCTTTCCTCCATTGAAAACGTGATAGTAGGTTCTCCATGAATTATTTCGATTGATTTTACAATTATTTTTGAGTTAATTAGGGCAGATTGTTTAGGATTTATAATATTGGAATTGAAAAAGGTGGTCTATGTGGTGGTTTGGGGTGGTGGGGTGGGCTGGACAGCCTCGAAAGGAGGCCGTCCAGTGGTCGTAGTAGCCATGATTGCAGCCTGCCGACCTAGGGTTTGAAAAGTAATCCCCGTATTTGAGTTGGTTGCAACTAAGGGTTGGTAATTGAAATTGGAGATTGAATTGGGCTAAATTGAGGATTGAGTTAGGCTTGAATGAGTTGAGATTGAACCCAATTCAAATTATCTTGAGCCCAACCCTTAAAATTCTGGGCGGGTTACCTATGTGTGGGTTCATTTTTGACACCCCTAGTTGCCACTAATAAGTTAGTGTTTTGTGGCAACATAAGTCGTCACCAAATATGTTTATCAGCAGCAACCTCACCAATTTCAATCCTGGGAAACTTCTATTTTGTGGCATATTTAACTAGTTTTAGTAGCGATACAGGTTATCACAAAAGGTGCCCATTTGTAGCGACACCAAAATGTCGTTACAAAAAACATTTAGTTTCGCAACTACTTGCCACGGCTCTATTGTCACCACTAAAACCTTTTAGCGAGCAACTTTATAGTCTTTTGTAGCAACGTCTGATTTCTTGTAGTGCTTTTGACGAATTACTCTTAGGTAGTTTCTTAAAGATGCTTAAAGCCTGAACTTTTGATTGTCATATAGTCAAGCTCACTAAATTTTATAAGGATTAAGTTCTGGGATTTTATATATGTTACAAAAGTTTATGAATTCTTCCTTTTGGAAGACATTGCTTTCATGGTTAGTCATTCTGTGGCGATATGCGATAGATACCTCTGATATTTATCTTAAATCAGTGGTGGAATGTTGGAATCCCTTCACCTTTTTGAGTCATCTTTCCCGTGTCAGATAGATGAAAGATTTGGAAAGCATACATAACAACAACTTTTTAACTTTCCAACATTGTTTGCGTATGTATGGTTTGAATTTGCAAATTCTGTTGCCTCCCCTTCTATCATCCATTTTCAAGAAACACATACTATACAGATTGAGATCATAAAGGAAACAATTTCAGTCTCAGTTAGAATTGATGTCTATCTATTGGTGAAGAGTTTATATTTGTTCATCTCCAATACTTCTAAAATCATGATATATTCTAGGCCAGTCGAGTATGTTAAGACAAGAGCCTATTATGTTTGAGAAGTTGAAATCAAGTTTACATTACAGTTTAATTAGCTTGAGTTTTCATGTATCATGTGTACTATTATTTCTACTTTTAGTGTGTAGCTTTTGAAAAAAGTTATCGCGTTGAGACAGCAGTGCCTTGCACCATTTGGTTGAAAATTTGCCCATTGATGGTGTCTATATTCGCGTTTACGTGCTTCAAACTCTATGAAGCTTTACTACTTAAACTGGTAAATTAGTGTGTTTTGTTTCAAGACAATTTAAGGATTTTCTCATCTTTAAATCTCACACTTACAATGAGTTGACAGACCATTTTAAAACTGGTTTCATTGAACATTTTGTTTCAGCATAGAAATAATCTACAAAGTTAGTTATTTGATCTTGTCCCCTTAGGTTGAAGAATGGTCTCTCTAAGATTATAATCACAAAATAAACCTAAGAGTTCTGTGTATCCTTCAATATTTGGTTGTTTGGCTGAATCTAAAGTCCCGTTTTTGTATGTTATGCTACATGTACTAAAGATTTAGATTGCTTCATCATATGATGAAGTCATCAACAAATCTAGAAGTAGTACTTCATCCGCTTTAATTTATGTGGCATTGTTTGATCGGATACAAAGTTTAAAAAATAATGAAAGACTTTGTTATCTTTATCAAATTCTTCTTATTAAAATCTCTTTAGTTGACTTTTCTTTACAATAAAGTATTAAGTGGATCCAATAAAGATAAAATAAGGAAAATTGACATTTTTTTGGGGACGAAATAAAAAGAAAAGGGTGTCAATAAATTAGAAGAATTTTGTTACTTCTTTCTCATACTAATCTTAGTATTAAATAATTATACTTTCTCCGTTCACTTTTAATTGTCATAATTTTCT